ATGGTCATGGATTCGAATATCAATCGCTTGATCGAAGTTTTTCATATTTTAATAGATAAAACTGAGTTGATGATAAATGAGAGAATGTACAACAAAATTATCAAGAACAGTATTAATGCACATCTCGAGTACCAATAAAATTACGAAGTTTATTCTATTATTCATTTACTTTAATCTGTGTAATAACTAACATTATGCCATGTGTCAAACTGTAAAATGTTCTGTATAGAAGATCTTTTCTGATTTATCTCATGTTCTGCAAACAAATAACAGCAATAGTATTTTTAATTTCATGGTTAATTAACTTTGCTTAGGGCCAGTTCTTTCTGATTGATCATTTGTCTTTAACTGTTTGAATTTTATAGCTTTTAAGTGACCAAAACTATGTTACAAAAATTAATGATATGTGTGACTACTAGTCAAAACTCAGATATATCGATAGTATCGACGAAAATTGATGTCAAATAACAATTGTTTCACTTTTTCTTTAGCATGAAGTCAAGACTAAAATTATACAACACATGTCAAATACTATTTTTATTATTGTTCTTATGATTGTAATTGCAGCAACCTAAACTAACATATATAAAAGCGACTAACTACAAGCTTGAGCTTGGCAGTTATCAGAAATGTTCAAACCGATGAACAAGGTTAACGTGTTCCAGTATATTGTATTCGAATCCATGACCATACTTCGCAAGCCATTTAAGTTCCTCAAAGGTGTGGGTGTGGGTGTGGGTGTGGATGTGGGCGTAAGGGAATAGAAGGTCGACACCCACACCCACACCCAGGCAATAAATCAAGCTGAGTCATTAAAGTCCTTATCGAGTGATTTATATACAGACAATATACGATTTATTTGTGAGTTAATACGAAATGCTGATGATGCACAAGCAAAGAACATCATTCTAACAATTCTAGAAGACAAATATTTCATTATTGCTCATGATGGTAAGGAATATTATTTATTTTTCTTTAACATATGATATTCACTTTTCTGCCTTTGGTCTGTGTCGAAAAAAAAAGGTTTATTATTCATCAGAATACTCGATACGAGATGGTCGAATACGAAATATGTGAAAGAAAGGAGTAGACATAACTGAATTTGTCAAGAGAAAATGATTCAACTTCAAAGTACTACAAAATGACGTCAATGATGTTTTCTGCAGTTCATTCTTCTTTTCTCTTATCTTATTTTTATTATTTTTTCTCCACGCGTAGACATCACACCATTTCAACACAATATATTCAGTCGATAGAAATTTTACCGTTCTCAGTTACCGTCATCTGAGAACTATCAAGCGTAAGGCATAGTGACGGATAGAATATGTTTAACACATTTATAGTCAAAAAGTATAGAATAGATTTTGCATTAAAGTTGACGGTATGAGACAGTTCGAATACCAATATTGCTTGTCTATCATTGTTTACAATGACATATAAACTCTGTATTCGTCAACATGTATTTTATTTAGGAAAATCTTTTGATGAAAAAGATTTACAAGGTTTATGTGGTGTTAATAATGGAACAAAAAAGAAAGATCTGGATAAAACAGGTTATAAAGGAATTGGATTTAAAGCGGTTTTTGGAAAATCAGATTATGTTATTATTTATTCAAATGGAGAATATTTTCGATTTGATTCTTCTTATCAAATAAAATGGAATAAACAATGGGGAACTAATGATAAACAAACATGGGAAAAAGATAATGATCGACAGTTTATTTAACCATGGCAAATTAATCCTGTATGGACTAATGACAATGAAATACCAAATCGAATTAGAAATTTTCTTAATTCAATATAAAAACAAACCCATGTGGCTTATGCAATTTTATTAAATAATGTTGGAGAAATTCATTTAGCTATAGATCAGTTAAAACAACAACCATTGATTCCACACAGAATCTAAGCAAACAAACGAAAATATTTTATATATGAAAACGATTTGAAAAGAAGTTTTAAACAGTCAACAAATTTACCTGTATGAATTTGTTCTCGATTTACATTTGTTAGAAAATTAGCATTGATTAGAACTGGAAATTTATATTCGGAAATTTTAGTTGGTAAATAAGAGAAGAGAATTGAATCTTGTTCACGCAACTTTTCCATGCCACCACTAATCATTTCTCCATTTTCATCAGTTGTTGGATCTTTATATTTTGCGGCAAAAAACATTTCAGCTTTTTCTATCGATCGTAATTTTTCAGGTGCTTTAGAATCTCCAACTAATCATATCGGTTAGCCAGTAATGATCTTCCCTCGAGTAGTAGAAAGGCATATCTTATAA